CCCCCCCCGGGACAGTGCCACTGACTGAAGTGTCTTTATGCCATTTCCAAGGGGGGGGACTTTTCTCGTTCAAGCATAGGAGAATTGTAAATGGGCTGATTCATCATGTCACGCTCATAACTGTGCCTGATCTATAACAGGGAACTGCTGCTTTTTCTTTCCTGATCCTTACTATTGCCATTATCCTCTACTTCTTTTGTATGTTTGTCACACTCTTGTGACCTGCTATTTCCGGGGTGCCTTGATAGTCGAAGCAGACCTTGTGCTGTTGAAGCTAGAGAGGTGAGCAGAATAAATCGGATTCCCTGTAAAGACTTCTCTGTTGACACCCACCCCACGGCGCTCATATGACCTTATGCAGTTGCGAGCGCCGTAAACCCCTCTACTATAACCCCCCCCCCAAAAAAAAAAAAACCACCAAAAAAAACCTACGTCTTCTGTTCTTGCCAGACAAGCAACGACAACAGTAGAAATGGAGCTGTTGTTCCGGGGAGAGATTTCCGCCGAAGACATTGAGGGGACCCGCCCACAGTTGTCCAATCTTCAGATTCCTTACATGGGCAGGAACTACAGTGTCAGTGCCGTGGACTTCGGAGATGGTCAGTTGGCTTTCTAGATCTCTTAGCACCATCATGATCTGTATGAGGTGGCTATAGGTAGTTTATTTGGTGTACAAGGCCACTTGCCCACTTTGAATAAAGCATACAGAAATTAAGAGTCGCGAGAGACAAGTAAAAACAGCGTATTATTGTAAGTTACATACACACCATTGACATTTTAATAGCGTAGAGTATATTGAGTAGAGAAGGAGTAGGAACAGAAAGTGAGAGAGGCAAAGAGAGAGGCAGAGAGAGAGGCAGAGAGAGAGGCAGAGAGAGAGGCAGAGAGAGAGGCAGAGAGAGAGGCAGAGAGAGAGGCAGAGAGAGAGGCAGAGAGAGAGAGAGGCAGAGAGAGAGACAGAGAGAGAGACAGAGAGATAGAGAGACAGAGAGACAAAGAGAAAGACAGAGAAAGAGAGTCAAAGATAGAGAGAGAGAGAGAGAGTGTTGGGACTTTATTATTCTTTGAATTCCTATAAAGTGACCAACGACCAATCATATTGTCCCCCTCCTCTCTTTAACCAATCACAGAAAAGAACTGCCCCTCCAAACCCTGCTCCAGTGGCTCCTTATGTGTGACGTCACTGGGTGGTCAGCGCAAATGTCAGTGTCCCATGGACAAGGGAGGCGACTACTGTGAGAACGATGGTAAGTCAGAGATGGTGGTCATTTTCTCTACTTGGTTTCCCTAGACCTATTTAAAGAGCACAGGGGGCAAAACGATTGTACTCACAAACTGGAAATTGTGAGGGTGCCAAATTTAAAATCTTGTGGACTCATAACTTCATATCTATTTGACTGGTGGTTTATTGTTAAGTGTTGTTGAATGGGAAATCTAACTACAATAATCAATCAACAGTTGAACAGAAATACAGTTATGCGTCAACAAGCGTTCAAAATTGGTACCCTCAAGATTCTCAGCTATGTGACTACCGTCGTTTTCCCCCTGTAGTCTTCATTGTGTTTCCTTGTTATCGTTTCCACGTCTTTGCTTTATGGAGTCACACAGTGGTATTGTGCACGCAACTGAAAACATCAGTTCTGTTTCAGTTAGCTATAGCCTACCAAGTACATTTGAAGATGTGCTCAGACAAATACTTGCACTTGTAAAGTTTCATTTAGGGGGGG